GATACTAGGTTACCCACAGGGCAGTAATGCTGCCTTTGACAGCAAAAGACAAACTACAGGGTGTTGAACGAGTCCTTCAGAAACATCCTATTATTGATATCCTAGTCTGCGTAGCGGCTCTCAGAGAAAGTAGATCTGATAGCCGCTACGCAGGCTATTGTTATCCTTGTTAACCCATTTATTGACAGCACGGCCCTACCACTGACTGAGTATTAAAAATCGTCTGGCGTTGGACAGGGTAAATACTAAAGTCATTACTGTGCTGATGGATTAACAAGAGCCATTGGCAGATAGGTTTGTTAACCCATTTACTGGCAGTACCCTGTGCCACTGACGAGTAAAATTTTCTGGCGCTGGACAAGGGACTGGCGCATTGCCAGCTAATGGGTTAAACCACCGTGGTTAAACATAAGATTTGATGCTCCAGGAAATGTAAACAATCAGTGTGACATCCCAGTTTATATATTTATATACTTGGAATATTGATTTCTCGGTAAATACAAAATTATTTTAAAGTATAACAACCGGCAAAGACGTAAGCCACTAACTACCCTGCGCGGCTGCGCGCAGCTATATAATGACATATATATGTTATCCGTCCGGTCCGTCCGTCGCCATCCGTCCGTCCGTCATTCATCCGTCCGTCCGTATCCGCGTTTTATCCTAACTCGTTTTTAAAACACAAAAGTGCGGTTCGTCATGATCAACATTTTCAAAAGCGGCCAATTAGACCAGGGGTTAAAGGGCAATGACATGCAGGTGACATTTAACATTGCGTCTCACTAATTAAAATTTGCGTGTTTAATAATGTTTATCAAAGAAAGCAAAAATGTATACAAGACAATGACTGACAATCTCACATGTGGAATTTTTTCACTTACGTACTGCCTTGTGATGCAGTACAAGTATAAATACAAATGACAAAGCATTTGTAAATTCTAAAACATAATTAAAAAATCATACGGCACATTTAAGATTTTAATATCGTATTTCAGCCGCGTATATACTGTTTGGCGCATTCGCTGCGTTATATTAATTTATATACACGGAAAAGCATGTCATTGTCCATGCAGACCATAGGCAAAAAGCATTTGTCAACCACATACCAAATTTAAGCAATCGTTAAATCATATACATGTCATGGAAAGAATATGGAAATAATGTTGAATGAAAGCTAGCATCGCGTATAATATTAAAAGCACCGCATATTATTAGTGCTCGAACCACTGCGTATAATTGCAAAAGCACCGCGTATATAAATGGTGAAAGCACCGCGTATAATACTGGAACCACCGCGTATAATGGCGAAAGCACCGCCGTATAATGCCGAAAGCACCGCCGTATAATGCTAAAAGCACCCAACAAAATGTCGTTTGATCACTCTAAGCCAGCTATGGCTTTCCATAAAAGAAGACCAAAGATGAAAGATGATCACATCGCCTGTTTGCCTTATGCCTGACCGCGCTGCACCACGGTTAAAATTCACTGGTACCGTCATGCAATGCGCCAAATAGAAAATTTTGATTTCGACCCACAAAACAAAATTAAGATCTGCTGCCTTGCTCGCTCGCTTCAGGCTCGCTCGCTGCGGCAGCAACTAAACACTGTTCCAGAACACCGTGTGCACTCCATTTTATATCGTTCCAGAACAGTGTTCCAAATGTTCTAGAACAGTAAATGGAGCAGCCTGCCGAGCAAAGCGGAAAAGTCGAATACGAGCGCGAAAGGCTGCTGGGATTCGCTAATAAATTCATTCATTTATTAGCGAATCCCAGCAGCCTTTCGCGCTCGCATTCGACTTTTCCGCTTTGCTCGGGGGACAACCTTAATTGAAATAGCTGTATACAGTATATAACGTAAACAGGAACATGAAGATCTTGGAAGTGTGCCCTTGAGTAGCCTTGAATCTAACCCTTGAGTTGATGAGTGTTCCAGCCGTTTATTTCTAATCTAGAACACGCAAGAGGAAATGAAGTCAAAAATGCCATAATCACAACGTTTTCATGTTAGTCTGCCTATGGAAGAAAACAGCGTTGAAAAAAAGCGAAATACCATGTCTTTGATTCAGCTTAAACAGAGAAAAAACATACTCCGAGTATTAATATAATGCTATCTCACAAACTCAAGATATGAGTTATAAACTAAAACAAGACACAATTTAGAGATAATCTAATTGTCGCGGGTCGCGGGTTTTATTCGCGAGTCGCGGGGTTTTTTTTGCGCGCTGGTCGCGGGTTTTTAACGAAAGTCGCGGGTTTTGTCGCGGGTTATTAACGAAAGTCGCGGTTTTTTTCGCGGGTATTTTTTCGCGTTTTTTTTTTCGCGGTTCATTTTGTAATTTCCCTGTCAGCGTTCTTCTTGCCGATCATGGGGGTGTTTGCACCAAACATCGGCTACTGTACGTGACTCATTTCTCAACTGTGTAATTCTCAACCATTGTGTAAAATAACCATTATATGGTCATTAACAGTGCATAATGGTCGTTAGCAGTGCACAACCATATTGACTATTCAATTGGTAGCTTGTTTGTGCAGCGGATGACTCATTTGACGTGTTTTGACGTCAGGTCGTAAACAAACAAGCGCATATAAAGACTCTATCTCAGGGTCATTAATTGTCAAACCAAACTCATTTTTTACAAAAGCGTGCACAGATCTTTATATATAAGTTAGAGTTATAAACCGAGTAGGAGGTTTATAACTGATATATTGACCCCAAGGACGCGTAGCGTCCGAGGGGCGGCCCGATATATCAGTTATAAACCGACTTTCGAGGTTTATAACTAACTTATATCTCATTTGTGGAGGTTTTGCAACATATTTTGTCATTTTCAAAAATTTTTAATGAAAAATTCTCGCGTTTTGTCTACAAGTTTAATCCAATTATTTATTCAAGATATATAAGCTAGTTATAAACCTCGGACGATCAAAGAAAACCGACGCAAATGAGATTGTCTCTCGAACAATACGAGAACGCTACGAAAACGGTACAGTGTAAACGCTGCCTATATTTCTGGCTTACTATAAACTTTCGGTATACAGAGCTTCGAGAAACAGTAAAAGATTGAAATTAGTATTTTGGCGAGAATGAAGAACTTTAGTGTTTGTAAGAATAAGATCGTGCACGCATATGAGTCTTGTGAGAATATGGGGTATCAAGATTGACGATAGTCACAGTCATTGTTGGCGTATTCACACTCTGTCAAATGTTTTGAAATATAGCACCTTTGAGCGCGTCTGAATGTTCTGATTCCTATTGAAGTACATACCCACGCTTTTAGAATTTCAGCGCTGACGCCTCAGTGATATATGTGGGTTATGAACATTTGCAAGGTTTTTAAAACGCCGATTAAGCCATATTATCTTCTTGAAAATGATATTTCATATGGATTTGTCAAATATGTTTATAAGAGTTTAATTAATGGATTATCGTATTTACTCGTTTGAGCGCCGCCCCCGATTGAGCGCCGCCCCCGAATGAGCGCCGCATTTGAGATCAATTTTTTTTAAAGAGCGCCGCCGCCGAATGAGCGCCGCACTAAACAGTGTAATAATTTTCCACCGTCAAAATGGGGACATTTAGTGACAAAGACATTCAAAACATATTTATTTTATTGTTAAAAGTTCTTGATATAATTCACAAATAAAAGTTTTTTTAAAGAGCGCCGCCCCCGATTGAGCGCCGCCCTCGAATAAGCGCCGCATCTAAAGCTCTGAAAATTTAAAGAGCGCCGCGGCGCTAAAACGAGTAAATACGGTATGCTTATATTTGTTCAGCCCTGAAAGGTGGGGGCCAAATTTCCGAAGAGAGGTCCAAATCCCCAGGGTCCAGATTTCCTGCTGAATTTTGTTTTTTGATGAATGATGAATGATTAATCTCGATTCTCAATACTCAATAGAGGGGATGTTAGTTATTTACTTGAAATAGCACACAAAGATATTAATTAGTGCGTCAAGTACTGATCCGGTTAATTGTCATGAAATAATTTTATCAAATTCCTTTTGTGTAATGACGTATTTCCTGATGTTGAGTTCCCCTTGTGACACAGTAGTTAAAAGTGATCAGCCGCAGTATCTCCTCACTTTAACTCTGGGGTTTGTCCAGAAATGAAGAATACTCACACAATGAACTGTTATCTTTCAAATCTATCGTATTTCGTCTTGCTTGCTCTACTGGGTATGTATACGTTATACTTTTGTTCTGTGTTAACTGTTTTTGTTTTCGTTTATGGAAGTATTAATTTTAAATTACTGGGCCTGTTGTTGTTAACTCTATAAAAATATATAATACGCATTTTGATTGGTCAACTTTCGCACTAACTGCAGTTAGTTTTTAAATTAATTACATTTTTATTGTATACAACCGGACCCTGGTCGGCTGGTGACTAGATAAATCATTCTCGTTATTCTCCGTACGTATAAGCTTCCGCCTATAACTGCATGTGAAATATATATGTAGGCTTACTGCACGACAATACTCCTTCAACCTTCGCCATTTCCCTTTTTCAACTTTATCGCTAAAAGTCCGCATCCTCCATTTTCCCAAAGATCATGAAAAACCGAGTAACTGAATTGTATTTTGTTCCATCGTCGCGGTCTTCCAGTTTAATTAAGGACACTTGTTATCTGTGATGTCAATACTGCAATGCTTTTAATATTAAACGGAACTGGGATAGACATTGAATTTGCGCTCATTCTGCGTAGGTTATGTTGCATGCGTAAGCAGTATACTGTATAATTTGTCTTCTTTTAATTAAGGTGTGTTTACATGCATGTTACTGATTTTTTGATAATTTTCCCGCAAAAGAGGAAATTCAGAGCATGTGCAAGTGCAACGAATCAGTTAAGAAACTCGCAGGCAGAAAATATAGCGCGGACACCGCAGTAATTGTTGCTATTCGTGTGTGTCAAGTGATAAGGGAATATACATTTATTACGCCGAGGGGGAGGGGATGAAAATGTCTTGAAAAAAGCTCTCACCGCAAGTCCGCTGGAAAATACGAGCCTGCGGTACTGGGAGAAATTTTCTGAATATGACCAGCGTGATTCAAGGCCAAGGGGTCCCGCGGGGGCGTGGCCCCTGTAAAAATTTTAAAACTAGAGTCTCTGAAATGCCATTGCATGCACTTTAGAAGGAGATTTACAGAGTTCTAAAGGTACTTCACCAAGATAGATAATAAGTTATATATATTGTTATTCCAATGAGTTTCCAAACCATCTATTCAAATTTTATTTGTTCGTATTTACAAGTTATTTTATTTGTTCGGGAGTGAACACTCCCGGCCCCTACTGGACCAAAACTATGAAAAGTTTATAGCCCCCCCCCCCTTCGGTATATCGAGAACTTTCAATTTCAGAGCCCCCCCTTAATGCCAGAAAATCTTTCGGTGCCCTCCTTAACATCTTCATCCCCCCCCCCCCTCCGGCATAGTAAGTGTAAATGTTAATGCACTTTTTATAATCTTATATTTTATAGCTATATATATTAGTTGGTTTAAAAATGCTCATATAACAATATTGCCAAGAAGGATTGCGCGTATTTCGCTTTTCCTTTATCCGAAGCGGCTGTTTAAACTGACATGTTAAAACATAGTATTTTTGTGATTTTTTTTACCCTCGATCAATAGATAAACTCCATTGTTCTTAATAGTGTCAATGTTGTCAGTGCTGTTTACCTTGCCTGGTGTTATGTAAACTTTGCCAGAAAGGTTCATATTGGGTACAAGTTAATTAACAGCTAAAAGTTACAAGGTCTATACCACTGTAGAGAACGGACCACTGCATGTATATGCTGCGCATATACAAAAAAAATGTCAAAAATATGAGGAATAAGACGCTGCTTGATCTTCCGACGTCCCTGCATGCATATATTCTTGCACACTACAAATATCAAATATGAGACTTATTGTCAAGTTCTAAAAGATGCGTGTAAAACTAAGTACGTTTAAATTTTGAGAAGGATATTATTTCTCTAATGTTTAAAGGTAAATAATTGCAGTCTTTTGCACCAGCATGACTTAAATGTTGATTGACCTATTGCACTGTTCACCTTAAGCCGGTTTTTTTAACTTAAGCCGATTTTCCATTAGGCGGAATTTTGCGCGCGGAGCGGAATTTTTCTTTGTCTTGTGATTCCTCAGGTGGAACTAATTAGAAAAGACAAAGAAAAATTCCGCTCCGCGCGCAAAATTCCGCCTAGTGGAAAACCGGCTTTAGCGAAGCATCTGAAGTTGGGGGGAGGGGGGTGGGGTGTCGGAGGATTTTACCTGAATAATTTAAACTTCATTGTTAAAAATTTACCGGCCTGAAATGTATTAATTATAATAGAGAACTTTTTCGATTGATTTCCATTGTCGTACTAGGTTTCTGAAGAAGAGGGGGTCTTGGGGGGGGGTTCTCCCCCAGAACATTTTTACATTTTTGAAGCTCCAGGACTGCGTTTCTGGCGTTGGATCTAAATTGACTGTATTTTACAAAAATGGTTATCATTTCACAAAAATAAATATGCAATTTATGCAACGCAATAAATTGTGGTTAATCAGTGAAGTAATATGTCCAAGAAGACTCTACTTGCCTTATGGAAATGCCAATCTGTCATCAAAACTACTGCACTTGGAGAACAAAGCATTACTTTCTAATCATGCTGCCAAAAGAGATTGAACCTTGGCAACAGCACGTGAACAAGTGATGCACTTGGGTTTAATCAATCAACTCTTCTTAAATATATCCGTCGCAACAATACAATAGCCCTATTCTTAATGAAAGACATTTAGTTACAGGCTATATGCTTCACGCCTCAATCGCAATATTTTAACCAGAGCGTAAGCTACCAAAACCTGGTATACAAAAAAAAACCCAACCCACCACCCCAGAGCCGACCCTGCCTGCTTATACTATCTATAGATCGACATGCTTTCGATCTATACAATCCAATTCAGCCTAATTGCTTAACCATTTATGTAAATATATAACTTACACATCTGTACCAGAATTGCAGAATGAAATAAATAAATAATGGCAGGGAAGTGCTGTCCTTTTGGACAACACTTCGCCACCTGAAGTGTATTTTTGCAGGTCATTCAGGTCGCAGTGCGACCTAATGACCTGACCTAGAGACTAGATGGGTAAGTCATTTTAGTTGAGTTACCATCAGTTGTTCACCAGTTCAACTAGTACTCAACATCAACGAGCTGACTGACCTGAACGGGGGTTCGCCTGTTCCCCTGTTATCTGTGAAACAGCACTTCCCTGCCATTATTTATTTATTTCATTATTTATTTATTTCATTCCCACCGTGTCTGCCCTTACCTCCATATCTCAGAACTGGTTCGACTCAACGGACAACTCCTCAACCGGTAGACAAGGTGTCCACGCCCTATTTGTTGATTTCCGGAAGGCGTTTGACTTGGTCGACCATAAGATCCTTCTGGACAAGCTTGCTGATATGAATGTAACAAGGAGTTTCTGGTTATGGATAATGAGTTTTCTGGAGGGAAGAACACAACCGGTAAATCTCCCAGGTGTACTATCCTTTACTGCATCATGCCCAGCCGGCGTCCCTCAGGGATTTGCTATCTCGCCGACCCTATTCAACATACATATTAACGATATGGAGGAAAATGTTTCTGAACAGGCATGTGTCAACACAACCAAATATGCGAACGATTGCACCATGGATACGTCCATAAGATTAGGAGAATCTAGCGATTTGCAAAGCGCTCTGGACTCAGTGCAAAGTTGGGCTGTGGAAAATAAGATGGAACTGAATGCCAAAAAGACAAAAGATATGTGGATTAACTTCACCGAAGCACCGCCCCCTCTACCACTGCATATAGGAGATCCTATCATAGAAAGAGTCGATAATTTCAAACTCTTGGGAACCTGGTTTCAAAAGGACCTGAAATGGAATAAACATGTCGAGGAGACCACTCGCAAAGCAGCTAAAAACCTGTACTGCCTACGAGAATGTAGAAGAGCGAATCTACCAGTCGAAGTGGGTCTCACCACTTATTTAACTAAAATCAGGCCTATCCTTGAATATTGTTCTCCAGTGTGGGGTGGTCTGCCACGATATCTAAAGGACGAATTGGAACGTGTGCAAAGGAGGAGTCTACGAATTATTGGCCTCCCGCATGGTTACCTACCAACTCTCGAAGAGAGAAGAGTTGAAGCCACATCGAGAGAACTCGATAATATCTTAGGTGACTAAGTCATATCTTTTATCAACGAACTATGGAACAACATAAGAAACATAACTATAATCTTAGGCGTAGAGACGGTATATTTAAATACGCACCTTTCTCAGGCACTGAACGACACAGAAATAGTTTTGTCCCACGAGCAATGAGACAGGGGTTGCATTAAAACCTAACTTGGTTTTTATTAACTTTTTAAATAATTTCCTAGACTTTTAAATTTTTTACTCCAAATTGTATATATATAAATTTTAAATAGTTTGTAAATATTATTGCATGCTTAGTTATGCTCTTCTCTTTTAATAGACATATTTGTAAATCCATTGTATTTTTAATTAAACTAAAGATGGATCAATAAAATCATCATCATCATCTAGAGGTTCACCTGTTCCTCTATGAAAAACCTACAGTTTTTGCATGCTCTGTCAGGTCTTCAGTACCCATACTGTCTCAGTATACCAATGGTGGTCCCCAGACCATCAGGACTCATATGTCGCTGAACAACATGCACAGAGCCGCGTCATTCCCTCTGCAATCTAGAGGTCTGCCTGTTCCTCTAGGTAAAACGTAGGTTAGCGAGAGCATCTAGACCGTTCTGAGCACTTTCTTGCCCATAATATATGCCACAAAAACCTGTCTGCTGTGTGTTTTTGTTTTCTGGGTTTTTTTTCAAACTGCGGTTCGGATGCCAGTTATTTCAACATATTAAACTTCATTGACGTAACGACTTTATTACGCAAATTTTACCTGAAAATCTCAAAATTTTAACTTGAATTTTACCTGATCATGATATTACCTGATATTTACTAACGTTGATAATTGTAATCACTGTTCTCCCGTTTAATAATACCAGCAGCATTGCTGATAGCATTTTTAACAGTTTAAATAAGTTATAATTAAATAAATATTATTGTTATTATTTATTATTATTAAAAATGATCGTGTTACCACGACAACCACTGCTGATACTTCATGTTTGAAAAAAACATAGCGGTTTGATTGGCAAGGCGTGGGGTTGTGCATGCAAATATTTCTGGTAATATTAATGTTTAATCAGAGAAACTGAATGACAGATTGAAATTTGTTCATTAAATGTAAATTGTCGGCAGTATATACAGTGTCAGTGAGAAGTTTTCTACGTATCTTAAAGAACGCAATTCCAGAAATGAGAAATACTCGTGCATAGTTCCATATTCTTCACTGAGTTCCTTCTATTTATCATCAGTTGACCTATCTATAAACCCATGATAATGTCGAGCAATTTCCATCAACGTCGGGCAAATTTTGTCTGCCATGCAACCTAAATTTTCCCCGCCTACGATAAGGTGTGTGTCGGAGATCTTCAAAGTTTTATATTAATTTCGACTGCTTGTATCATTTTAAATTCGAAAATGGTGCAAATTATTAAATTGGAGTTTCGATTTACTAGTTTCATCATATTTGAAATTTTAGCCAGATAACTTTAGTAAATATCTCTATTTTTACTTTGTACTATCCTTGGGATCTCTCTTTTTCTTAAGATACTGTCCATGGCCTTTTTGCAGAGTGATTGTATACCACTCTTTGCCTTTCCTGTGGGTTTTCTCCCACTGATTTCTCTAACTTATTTTCCCAAAGTCAGACCCACACCCATTTTTCTAGCCTGGCTAACACGCTGTTTAATAACTTATTTTCACAGCGCGGCAAGGAGATTGTCAGTACAGTAGTAGTAGATGTCGCGTTCCTATAAAACAAACGTCAGGCCACTTTGTACTTGATGCCAATCATGGATCATGGCCAGGTAGCGGATTTTGCCAAGCAATCAGCACGAAAAGCATCCAAACAAACTCCTACCGAGTAGAAGCACAACTTTTGAACCACAAAGGCTGGAGAGGAGTTAACAGTGGTCATCTTGGCCTTATTTATAACGCTAAAGACTGGAGAAATTATGATTTCGTCTATTTCAGGTACGTTCATCTACAAATACAAACATATATGTACATTTTAATTGAAAAACACTGTAATGTAAGGAAATTACAGTGTTTTTCCTTATATTAAGTGTTTAAAAACACTTAATGTTTGATCAAAATTAGGTAATTAGTTTTGTTTTCCCGAGAGTCTCAAAGTTTCCCAACGAACTCGAGGGGAACATTGAGATTCGAAGGGAAACAAAACTATTTCCCGAGGGAACAGACATTAATGTTATATAGCGACGAAGAAAAAATAAACAACATTCTGAAATCAAATATATTTCATGACCAAACATCTTTAATGTAAATGATTTTAACAGTATAAAAGGACCTGATTTCAGCGAGAATTTAAAGAAAATTATTTCAACAGCAATTCCTGTTGCCTAATGGGTATTTTCCTTTTCTGTTAGATACCGTATTCTTTGTCTAAACAGGAAAACATTTAAAATATTCTTGTAAAACTTTTTACTCCATTTCGATCGTTTATGCATGTAGAACGTAGCCGGTCGTTAAATTTGTTTCTCCTTCTCTTTCGTTATCTTTTTGTTCTTTGTTATGTTCGTATTCTTTTCTCTTTGCTTAGTTTCGATTTTCCTTACATTAACGATGTTTATACAAACAATTCCAAACTAAAACAACACAAAACAGATTAAGCGGCCTGCATATCATTCATAAACGTTCGGAGCGTCGCTCTAGGACGAAAGGCCTTCGTTCGAAAGTCTTAGCTTTGTTACACTTTCAGGTAGTTGAATCCTTAACAATCCGTTGTTTTCTGGGGTAAAAACATAACCTGACGCAGGAACATGTGATTGATGCAATAGAAAAAACCCAACTCGAACATAACACATATTAAGTCCAACGAATTTTGATTTGAGTGAAATTTAAAAAGGAGAACATTGTTTAACACATTTGACTCAGGGCAAAACTCGTTGGAAAAAATCTGTCATACGCATACATATACAATAATCATAATCGTTCTTCTTCAACACAAATTCTTTATTTTCGCAGACCTCACAGTAAAAATGGATGTTTTCAAACCGGTTATACTGTGAATGGAGTTCCTACATTCACAAATGGAATATCAGCAGCTTGTCCTGGTCAAAATCCGCCTTTAGGTGGCCAGTGGTTTGATGTGCGCATTGAAGTAAACAACAACAAGGCCAAGATTTATTTGGCAGGAAAATTGGTGAGACAGGTTACACCACGTTATCCAGGGAAAGGACAAGGAGGAGTATTGGTAGCAAACGGTTACAAAAATATTGCGTACTTTAGAAATTTCGATATCACTCACTACCACAATGATTACTTAATAACATCCTGTGTTGTGGCATCTAGTGGAACTGCAGGAAGTCATTTCGTATTGGATGCAAACCATGGATCATGGCCAGCAAGTGGATTCTGTTCTGCTTTAAACGATAAAGATACATTGAATAGCAACAAGTACGCGATCTCAGCCCAACTGTTTAACAAGGTTGGTTGGAATGGCGCCAATTCTGGACATCTTGGTCTTCTTTACAACGCAAAAGACGAGAACAATTACGATTTTGTTTACTTCAGGTAACCGGTTATTGTTATCATGTTGTGCCAATTGCTTAGATCCTACACTCCCCTCCCCCAAAATTGATATATAGCCTATGATAATGGTAAGTAGGTATATAATTGTGTTTATTTTTTGTTGCGTGTAAATTTGTTTCTTCCTTTTTATTTTTGTTATGTTTTTGTTCTTTGTTCACATTCGTGCAGTAGAAAAACCCCACTCGAACATAACATTTTACCGAAAACGTCCAACGAATTTTGATTTGAGTGAAAAGTCAGGAACAGAACATTGTTTAATGTACTGGACTATGTCGGAAAACCCTTGCGAAAAATATTGACATAAGCCTACATATAAAATCATTCTTCTTCAACACAAATTCTCTATTTTTGCAGACCCCACAGTTCAAACGGATGTTTTCAAACGGGTTATACTGTGAATGGTGTTCCTAAATTCACAAATGGAATATCAGCAGCTTGTCCTGGTCAAAATCCTCCTTTAGGTGGCCAATGGTTTGATGTGCGCATTGAAGTGAACAACAACAAGGCGAAGATTTATTTGGCAGGAAAATTGGTGAGACAGGTTACACCACGCTATCCAGGGAAAGGACAAGGAGGAGTATTGGTAGCAAACGGTTACAAAAATATTGCGTACTTTAGAAATTTCGATATCACTTATTACGATAATGATTACCTAATAAGGTCGTGTGTTGTGAAAAATAGTGGTTCATTTGGGAACCACATTGTGTTGGATGCAAATCATGGGACATGGCCAGCCAGTGGATTCTGCTCTGCTCTAAATGAAGGGAGTGTGTTGAGCGGAGTACACTATGTGGTCTCAGCCGAACTGTTTAACAAGGTTGGTTGGAATGGCGTCAATTCTGGACATCTTGGCCTTCTTTACAATACGAAAGATGAGAAGAACTACGACTTTGTTTACTTCAGGTAATGTTCTTATTAAAAGTACACTGAAAGTAGAACGTAAATTACCATCTGCGCCTTAGGCGTTTATTGTATTTATTTGTGTAGTTATTATAAAACCTTAGGCGTTTATTAGATTTTAGTATAATTATATAGGTGATTATCGAAAATTCTCCACGCTGATTGGTTGCCGTTAAGGTGATTATAACGCGATAATCACCTCGCCTTCGGTGAATAGTTGTTAATTAACATTTTATGTACCGAATGAGAACATTATTCTTAGAACTTATTCCTCATTTTGCAGACCCCACAGTTCAAACGGATGTTTTCAAACGGGTTATACTGTGAATGGTGTTCCTAAATTCACAAATGGAATATCAGCAGCTTGTCCTGGTCAAAATCCTCCTTTAGGTGGCCAATGGTTTGATGTACGTATTGAAGTAAACAACAACAAGGCGAAGATTTATTTGGCAGGAAAATTGGTGAGACAGGTTACACCACGTTATCCTACGAAAGGACAAGGAGGCGTGTTGGTAGCAAACGGCTACAAGAACGTTGCTTACTTTAGATCATACAAAATATGCTCAAATTAAAGCGAAGAATTTGCACAACTTTTTTTATCGGAATGATTTTTAACGGAATAATCACAACTTTTTTAATTAAACGGAATAATCACACCTAGGTTGTTTTATGCATAAACATAATGTCACTTTAGTTTTATCAAAACCTGTATATTGTTGGAAGCCTTACTTTTCGCGCGTTCTCGTTTCAACGTCCTGTACCGGGACTTATGGTCAGGTTGTGTATGGTTCGTGAAACTAGAAATAGGTATTGTTCAATAAATATGCTTTATTCAGATTGTTGTTTAAATATTATATCTTAGAGAATAGTTTATGTTTTATGTACAGGTCTTGTATGCCATGAGTCGTCTTGATTGGCCGTACAATTTTATTGTAATTTAGGATTTCCAGAGTACCGTATTTACTCGATAGAGCGCCGCCCCCCGAATGAGCTTGAGATTAAATTTTTTTAAAGAGCGCCGCCCCCGTGTAAAAACTTTCCGTCGTCAAAAGGCTCTAAAAATATAAAGAGCGCCGCGGCGCTCAAACGAGTAAAAACGGTAATGTGTACATGTAGTTCGAGCGAAATTTGACATGCTGTTAGGATGATGAAGAGTGTGTGCCCACACCGTTTTGTAAAATAGGTTCTTAGGCCCGTTTTAGTATACGTCGAATATCGGTCGCGTCGAATGCAATTGAACCAATAGATAATTATAAGTAATAGCATGGCTTGAGGGAGATTAGTGATTAAATGGCCCCGTAACCCGAGGCAGGTTTGCGGAATCCCTGAGGGCGAAGCCCGAGGGAATTCCGCAAATCTGCCGAGGGTAAGGGGTCATTTAATCACTAATCTCCCGAAAAGCCATGCTATTAGTTTGTAATAGCATAGTTGCGCTCCCATTTAAAAATGGACAAACATGCCTTACTTGGAATCAGCGTATTTAAGCTAAAACATTTGCTTCATTGCTTGTGGGATGTAAAAGCTTGTTGCACATGCGCACTTTTTACGCTTTAATCGGTTACGCATGCGCAATTTATCATTTAACGTACCACAACAAACACGCTAAATATATTAGTATAAATTTGGAGACTGCACGTGCGTAATTTAAATGATGCGGCAACTCAGGGATCGGATGATA